CATACTTCAATTTCCGAAAGGAAGACTCACAATCCTTATCCCACAACCAGATAGTTTCTTTCTTTAACAACCTTCGCATTGGTGCAGCGATCAGTGAGAAGTTTCTGACAAACTTCCTATAATAACTAGCTAGACCAAGGAAAGATCGCAGTTTAGTAATAGACTTAGGTTGTGGCCAATCTCTAATTGCTGATATCTTTTTCTCTTCCGGCCTTGGACCTTCTTCGTTTACTATGTGTCCTAGGTATAACACTTCGGACTTAGCAAACTCAAACTTCTTTGAGTTGATTTTAAAGTTGCCCTCACGCAACTTCCCTAGCACCAGACGAAGGTGGTTCTCATGATCCTCTAGCGTTTTACTATACACTAGAATATCATCGAGATAAACAATGACAAACTTATCCAACCATTGACGAAACAAGTCATTCATTGACCTTTGAAAAGTAGCAGGGGCATTCGTTAATCCGAAGGGCATTACCACAAACTCATATGGCCCGAAAAGCGGTCTTATGCTGATCGGTGGGTTCCACCTCGTTCTGGTGATACCCAGATTTCAAGTCGATCTTGCTAAAGTATCTGCATCCCTGTAACTGGTCAAGTAAGTTGTCAATGCGAGGAAGTGGTTCAACATTCTTAATAGTGACGACATTCAACCCTCTGTAGTCTATACAGAGACGTAACTCACCTTCCTTCTTAGATACAAACAAGACAGGAGCACCATAAGGAGAGGAGCTAGGGTGGATCCATCCTTTTTCTATTAAGTGTTGCAGTTGTTTCCTTAATTCCTCAAGTTCCCTAGCAGACATTCGGTAGATAGGGCCCTTGGGGATCTTACCACCAGGAATAATTTCACTGGTGTGCTGCACGCTCAGTTATTCCTGTTGGTTCAATAAATAATTCTTTATACTTATCTAAGAGTTTTTCTATCGAGGGTGGATAGGAAGCGGAAGTTTCACCAACTTGTTTTACCAATACCATCATCACTTCCTGTTCCAACCTTTTCTTTAAAACCATCGATCGAAATGTTGGATAACTCATACAACAAAAAGACAAACTAGAGTCAGCGCCAGACTTATGGTACAGTTTGATAGGTTTCAATTCAGAGTATGCATCTGGAAATTGCACGATCTTTTCTTTGAACTAGATATTTGGGTTGGATTCCCCGTGCCAATCCATTCCCAGAATCAAGTCAAACGGTAAATTCTTTTCGACAAGGAAGGATACCTCGTGTAAAATCTTCTTCCCTTCCTTGGTACGAAATCGACATTTGACACGATCAACACATTGCGAGATAGTGATCGTGTGTCTGTCAGCGATAATAGACGTGATAGGTCGAGACAAATCTTTTACCTTCATTCCGAGATGCAACTTTCGAATTGCCTTCTCTGATATGTGGTCTTGAGTCCAACAGTGCACCTACGCGTGTATGTGCAATCTCTACGTCCGCGAGTAGTAGGTCACCCTTAGACTTAGATTTCTTAGCCCACGAGCTTCGTAATGCTAGCAACTCGTTACCAAGCTCGTCAAGAAAGTCGTCCAGAGAGACAGTACATAAGACAGGTTCAGGGTGTTCCGAACGATAGGCCGAAGAAGAACCATCCTCTGCCATGCGAGTCGAAGGGTTAGAAGGGTTAGTAGGCGCCTTACCTTCATCTTGATCCAAACCCTTGGACTCAGTAGGAGCAGATGCTACTCCTACTGACGGCTCGCTTTTGGGTTTCGAATAAGTGGGCACCATGCAATCACATGCCCTGGGGTACCACACTTCAGACATTGTGCATTATCCATTCTTTCTTGCCACGTTTCCTGTGACATCCCCATCTTTTCCCATGGCTTCCCGGCCGCAATCCCGAGATGCTCTGGGAACGAGCGTGGTTTCTTCTTCTTCATTACCGGCGGCCGTGGTCCTCCCTTGTTGACCACGGCAACAGTGACTTCCCCCTTCCCGGAATCACTGCTGCTCGTCACACCCTCGGCCTCCAATGGCCACTTCTCCACAATATCGTCATCAAAGACGATGAGGGTGTGGTCCTGGCGCTTTTGGCGCCAAAGTATCCGCTTTCTTGCACTTGCACCACCACCAAACTTGACAACAGATGCATAAGAATTCTTCACCCGAGATGTCATTTGCTCTCGTTGGAGAGCCAAATCTCGAAACTGCATATAATTATATTTGTCGGACTTGGACTCTGCCACGAGCTGTTCACGGATGGGCTCGGCCAGAGTACAAGACTTGGTTGTCTTGCAGGTTCAATCCCGGAACCTGCAGCAACCGATCAACTTCCCGAGACAACGATTCCACAGAGGTCCAATGTTTTTGACCAATTGTGGTGAGCTGGTCAAAGGCCTTGTCGACCGTCGTTTTGTCCAAAAACCGTTCCTTGATCTTACCAAGGAACTGCTTGAGGTTCAAGGTTCCAGCCCACTCCCCAATATCATCGAACCACGCTGAATTGGCTTCGGCCAAAACCCATTCTTTTGCTTCCCCCCCAAGACAAGAAGTAGAGAAAGCAACTTGAGACTCGGGTTCAATAGGGGCCGTCCCGCAGTACGTTTGAATTTCGACAATCCACGATAATAACTTTTCCTTTTTTTTGTTGCAGAACGTGAAAGGCAATTTCATTTTGACCTTCTCCTTCTTCTTGGGTTTCTCAGGTTGTGTGGTGTGGTCCTTTTTCCCATTTGGAGACTTCGGCGGACTCGAAGGTTCTCCTTTCTTCTGTTCCGGTTTCTTCTTTTCCGGTTTCTGAATTTCTATTGTAAGAGACTTCATTGCGTCTCCCATTAGTTTCTCTGGCTTTTCATTTTTCTCTTCCTTGACTTTTTCTGTCACCTGGTTCTTTCCCTTGACCAGATTGGTGATTGTCTGTAATCCTACGGCCATATCATCAATCCGCGCAACAGTCTGATCAATCTTCATTTCCAGGTGCGCGAGGTAAGTTACAAGTTGAGCCAAAGAAACAGCCTGTCCTTCCCCTTCAGTTACAATAACAGTTTGTCTGATTTCGTCTATTTTCTGTTCTTGTTGTGCATTCCGCTCTTTTTGTCTTCTTAATTCCTCTTTCCTCTGCTTCTCTCTCCCTAGTGCTTCTTCAAGATGTCTGATATTTTCGTCCACGGTTTTTTCAGACACAACCCCTTCTCCTTCTTCTTTCCGTTCAACAATCTTGGAGAGCTGATTCATGATAGACTTATCAAGTGCTTGACGACACTTGATTAGTATATCCTGAACCTGAATGACGTCGGTGCCTGTCTCAATCAATTCAACAGCATTATGTTATGCTTTTCAATCAAAGAGGCTCCGAACGTGAGCCTCAGCCTCTTCACCGCATCATGAAGTTCAAAAATCAGTTTGTCCAAACGAGCCCTGGCGAAGTCCGTAACACTATCCCCTCCCTCTAGAAGGCAACGTCCCGGCTGCCAAAAATCATGAAGCAATGCTGAAATCTGTGAAGGACGGGACGGGGCCGATCACTGGTTAACAATTCGAAAGGGAAGAGGGGTATAATGTGGGTGGCATGGGCTGCGGGAGTAAGAGGGAACAGGGTTTGGTACCGGTGAACAAAGTTGTCCTACTGATGAACTAGGGGGACTGCATGGTTCGCTATAGGTTAAGGGGGAACAGAGTTTAGGGAACAGGGAATTTCTATTGATGTTCTACTGGGTAAGGGAAACAATGGTCAGGGGAACAAGGGATGTCTATTGATGTTCTAGTGGGTACGGGGAACAATGGTTAAGGAAACAGGGATCTGCTAATGATGTTCTACAGGGTTATCAAAGTTAGGAAAAATAAAGATRAAAATGTTTGTTCGGGATGCAAAGGCTGGTGTGTCCGAAGGAGTYGGAAGCAGAATCTCATGTAGGAACRAAGTGTCCAGGTGTCTTGAAAAGGCGTCTGCAGCGGTCTTGATCAGGTCTTTGGAGTAGGTGGTAGAAGCGGTCTTCAGCAGCTGCGATAGGTAGAAGTCCAGGAAGCGTAGTAGTAGTTCAAGTGTCAAAGTCCAAGTGCTAGGGTGCGTCCGRTACACGAACTGCAATGAGGTCTGATYTGGAAGCAAGGAAGTCGCAGACTGATGCAAAGATYCATGTCACAAGTTGCTGCTCCAGTAAGTCCGCGAGTCGGGGATGCCGGCCAATGAAACARCATGGTGGCCAAACCAGCTGCATAATCTCCATGAACAATGAGGCAGCAGGCCATCGTCCTCGTGCGCTTGCCATTAGATCCTTCATCGCCGGCGTCACGCAAGTTCACAAGCATTGGAYAAGAGAGACAAGGTAGTGGAGAGGACAGATGGGACAAGGCTAGGCGAGGGCAAGGGCAGATCAGACATGGACTGGGTTCAAGGGTGTGTGTAGAGCAGGGTTGCAAGGGTTTTAGCGGGGGTTTATGCCATAGTGATATAGGTATCTTGGACATAGGATTAGCACGATCATAGGCGCGGACATGTTTCATGGCGTTCTTAAGATTAGAGAGAGGTTCCCATGTAGATTCTTCGTCGGGGTATCCGGTCCATTTGACTTTGTATTCAGTGATTGGTTCCGGATGATCAGAAACCTGAGTGGTTCGTCGGCCGATGATGGTTTCGACAACGAATTCAGGGCCTGTGGGTAGCATGATTGGTGGAGGTCTAGGATATGGGCGGTCGGCGAACTGGNTGATTGGTGGAGGTCTAGGATATGGGCGGTCGGCGAACTGGAGCGGGGATTCATGGTATTCTTTTAGGTACTCGACATGGAAGACTGGGTGAACAGTGTTCAAGTGGAGGGAAGAGTGGGAGTGGAAGGGCCGGGTCCCGTGGAGCGAGGAGCCTGTCGAGTAAAGTGGCTAGCGTTGGGGCAGTTGGTCTGTTGATGACCTAACTGGCGGCAACGAAAACACCCGTTGTGTTCCTGGAGGTATATGCGTTCTGCGGTTGTGAGTTTCTGGAGGCGGCGGGGTGGAGAGGAAAAAGGCGGTCGAGAGGCACGATCCTGGCGTTCCATCCGTATAAGGTGGGCGGTCTGGAGGTCCTCGATGGTGAATTGGGAGGGGTGGGCGGTCTGGAGGTCCTCGATGGTGAATTGGGAGGGGTCGAGAGAGGCAGTGTCGAAGTCGTCATCGGAGGTGGGTTGAGTGGTGTTGTTATGGAAAAAGAGGGGGCGGGAGGGAGCGGGCGCGGACTGGTGATGGGGGTGGAGTCGTCGATCATGGTGAAGCATGCGAGAGAGGAGGTCAGCAAGGGGCATGTCGGGTTCGTGGGTGAGGGCAGTGGCAAGGTCTTTGTGGCATACTCGTTTGATGCGGGAGATGAACGCGCAGTCGGGAATGACGGTGTGGGGGAGGTGGTGTCGGAGGGAGCGGACGTATTGGACGAAGCGGTCCGTAGGACCGGTCTGGCGGAGGTGGCAGAATTGTTCAAGGTAGTCGTCAATGGTTTTTTGGGGGTGAAAGGTGGCAGTGAGGAGGGTGGCCCATTGGAGGAAGGTGGGGCGTGGTCCTCCGGAGGCTCGGCGGTTGCTAGCTTCAGCCATCCACTATTTGGCTGCATTGCCGAGGAGGCGRGAGGTGGCAATGGGGAGCCAGTGGGCAAGGGGCATGTGGTGGAGCTGAAAAGAGTTCTGAAGCTGGGTTAGGAAGAGGAAAACGTCCTCGTGGGGGAGGCCGGAGAAGGACATGATTTCGCCCGATCGGAAGGAACAGGGGATTTCCCCGTCGCGGAGAACGATCTGCTCGAGGGTGTTGAAGCTGAGGTTATCGGGGGTGGTGTCGTAGCAGGTGTGGTCGATTTGGTTGTTGTCCTCAAGGAGGTAGTTGGGTGGAAGTTGTGGCATTGCGGGGAAAGCCCCGGAGGTGACTTGGGAATAGGTGGGACGGATGGTGGGGATGGTGGAGGTGGTCATGATGGGTTGGGAGAGGGTTTGGGCGTGCGGGGGGGGGAAGGGGTGACTTTGATGGGCGAGGAATGAGGCGGTGTGCTGGATGCGCCGGATGAGGGAGGAGGTGGAGGGAACGGAACGATGGTGGGGATTGAAGGGTTGGTGGATATGGCGGGAGAGGTGGTAGGAGTGGAGGCGGTCGGCGGGGGGGTGTTGCTAGAGGCGGCTGTGGAGGTTGGAGTGGTTTGCACTGCGGGGGTTGGAGTGGTTTGCATGGTGGTGACGACCGTGATGGGGGGGGTGGTCCCTTCGAGCGTGGTGACGCGGTCGCATAA